TTTTTTTCCTCTTCTTCTTCTTCCTTCTCCTTCTCCTTCTTCTTCTTCCGCAGGGGGGTGTTGATGGGTTTTCAAATTTATTTTTTATTTTTTCTTCCTCTTCTTCTTCTTCCTCCTTCTCCTTCTCCCTTCTTCTTCTTCCGTGCCGATAGGGGGAATTTTTTTTTTTCCTTTCTCCTTTTTTTTCCTCTTCTTCTTCTTCTTCTTCCTCCTCCTCCTCCTCCTCCTCCTTCTTGTTCTTCTGTAGGGGGTTGTTGGGTTTTCAAAATTTTTTTTATTTTTTGGGTTTGCAGTTGGGGGGAAGAAAATGAAGATGGGAGAAGAGAGAGGAGGGGGGAGGGGGAGGGGAGGGACAAACTGATGGTTTTTTTCTTCTCTGCTTTTATTATTATTTTAAAAAATATTAAATAATTGTTTTTAGTTTTTAATAATTTTTTAATAGAAAGTATGTCCCGAATCAAGCCACATCAGAACTTAACAGAAAAACTAACAGAAAAATTGACAGAGGTATGACATTGTCACAAATTTGTAAGATGCGGTATAACATTGTCAATTTTAAAAGATAAGGTATGAAACTGTCGTGACCCCAATAATTGAGGTAGTTTTTTGTACTTTACCCTTTTTTTTTAATTTTACTTTTATTTATTATTTTAATATTTAAAAAATATTAAATATTTTTTTTAATTTTTAATAATTTTTTATTAATTTTTTAATAGAAAGTGGTCCCCGTCTATTGCCACGTTAGCATTTAACAGAAAGACTAACAGAAAAATTGACGGAGGTATGACATTGTCACAAATTCGTAAGATGCGGTATGACATTGTCAATTTTAAAAGATGAGGTATAAAACTGTCATGATCGCAATAGTTGAGGTAGTTTTTTGTACTTTACCCTTGATGTTTTATAGTTTATGCAATAAAGAGTATATAATCCATTAGTAGAGTAGAGTTTCCAGCAAGTCAAGGCCTTAAGACTTGTTTATGCAAACACTTTTCTGATTTTCTTACCATGTAATTCTTATAATTAGCCTTGTTTTAGCATATAAGTCTTTTGATGCCAGCTACCTTTTGTTTTTTTTTTGTTAGTTCATATAAAACAAAATATATACAATCTAGAGGAAGATCTAATTATGTTAAAAGAAAAATCTCATAGTAATAGTTTTGAGCTAGCCATAACTTTAAATTTTGGTTCGAATCTAATGTGTGAATTTTTTTTATTTTTTATTAAAGCTCGTAAACAAGCTCTATTCTTATGTATAATCATCTAAATGCTAAATTTTTAATACAAGCTCCATCAATCTTATTTGATTAAAATTTTTCATGACAATACAAAACAATATAAAGAACCTTTGATTGTTCACCAATTAATTATACTTGAAACTATTTTTTTTAGTTTATTTTATTTTGCTTCAAGGCCCCTGATGAATTTTTGGCTCCTCCGTCAGATTACACGCACACCTCTAAGATGCCACTTACTTATTTATTTATGAGCTTCAATGTATTGTCATTTTTGCCTGTTTGGATTAGAGTAAGAGATGGTGATTAATAATGAGGGAATACGATTCTCTCAGGATTTTTTTTGTGAGAATCCAGATGATCAATAAATTGTATCTATTCATCATATATTGTGCGGTTATAAATTATGTTAAATTTTAAAATTAAAATTAAATATAAATAGTACCTAAACAAAACTGATCGCACGATATATGATAAACGAATACGATTGATTGATCTTTGAATCCCTACAAAGAGGATTCGGAAAGGATCCTTGTCCAATATTGAGGATGCTGTGGGCTGTGTATGGTTTGTTTGTTTTAAGACGGTTTGGTTTCATGAGTCCTGACTACCAAACTAGTATAAAGAGTTTTTCTCATGTTTTGACGATCGATGATTAGGTGATTAGGAGCAGCGTAATTAGATGAAATGTGTGTGGTCCGTCTGATTGACTGGAATGGGGATGGGGGGCGCACTGTGTGGACCCATTGCAATTGCAAATGTAATCAAGACTCGAGACATAGCATACTCCATACATGGAATGGAATGATTCCATTACTTGACCACCACAGATTCGCTATTTGCAATTTTGCGAAGAAAATGAATGAATTGACAGAGTGGACCCAGCCCATCCTCCTCTCTACGGGTTGTCCCTCTTCTAGAGAGAGAAAGAGAGGGAAAGAGAGAGAAAGATAGAAATGAAAAATAAGATTATTAAAAAAAAAAAAAAGAAATGAAAAATAATAATAAATAATAGGGAGAGAGAGAAATGACTAATGAGGGGGAGTCCAGGGGTGAAGAACCTTGGGAACACAGTCCTGATTTTCCAAAACCAGCAACTTGCAACTTGCATGTCAGCAAAGAGAGCCCCACTTGTCTATGTGTACAGTCGAATACACCGAACCAAACCATCTTTCTCTCTCTCTCTCTCTCTCTACATAAACATAATCATAAAACAAACATTGGGAAACCTAATAAAAAAAAGTAAATTACTAATAAGGGAAAATAGGAGAGGGTAGCAACAAGAAAGGGAAATCCAGGTGCAGCGCATCAAAATTCATTTTGTTCCTTAAACACCTTAACCCGTTTCTTTTTATTCTTACACCAACACTGGAACACATTGTTAATCCAATCCAATCCAACGCAACATCCCTCTCTCTCCTTGTTTTAGTTTCTCAAAGTAAAAGGGCCAGGGAAGGGTACTCAAACTCAAACTGATGAGATGGTAAAAGTGCACAACAACTCTGTTCCTTGCTGCTGTTGCTGCTGAATCCTCATCCTCATCCTTTCAGAAAGATTCACAGGTAGGTAGGTATGTATGTATGTATGTGTTGTATATATGAATATGAACCTTAATTTTATCCTTGTGTTGCTCAATTTGGTTGGCATACCCTCAGCTTTTCTACTGTTGATTTATTTGTTTCATCCCCTCTAAAGTCATTTCATTTATGAACACTTTTTTATCTTCCTTTTTTTAAAATAAAAAATATAAATTGTGGTTCAGTTGTTAACATTGATATCTCAACATCATCTCTTGAGTCTCGATGGATTATGATTATGGGGACTTTTCTTTTTCGGATGGAATGGAAGATGGATTTTAATTTTGAAGGGTGACGGAGCGAAAATCTTCATCTCTTGAGTCTTCTTGATTTCCCTTTCAAATTATGATTCTAGATTCTTCTCTTCTCTATTCTGTTGGATTTTATCTCTTGATTGCTTTGTTTGTGTTTGTGCATTGTATTGCATTCAAAGACTTTAAGGAAGGAAACAAGGAAAGATCAACTAATCCTCTTCTCTTTTTCTTTCTTGCCGTTTGTAGCTGTATCTCAAAGCCAAGTCTGAGCGTCTTACTTTGCAAGTTGAGATCCTCCCAGGACAGCACAAAGCGAGCGAGCCAGATCGAGGGAATTGTGGCCTACGTTCTCCATTGCATTGATTGCCTCTAGTTGCTATAGTTGTATAAAACCAGCATTGGTCAAGCGTTGGAGATTTTGAGTTTTAGGCTGAAATTACGTCTGTTTGAGAGATAATTTGCTTAATTTAGGTTCTGTGCGGTGCTGTGCTGTGATTTGATCTAGGGGAGGGGACCAACGCATCAGTAAATGAATTTTGATGTTCCTGAAGTAGATCGGCTAAGACTAGTACTGTCACAGGGTTTTATTCATTTGCCGGATCGCTCTTCAACAAGTTGCGTTATGGATATTAAAACTAGAAAAGTTTCTGGTGCCCATACGCTAGAGCCCTCCCCAACGGATCATGGACAGAAAGTGGAGTATTATCATCAGATTCAGAGACAAGGAAAGGCAACAGAATACCGGCGAACCTTATCTCACGGTAGAGGGACTGGCAGAAGACTGCTGCCGGCCAGCTACTTTAGCTTGGAGTCGTTGCTTTTGCTTGTATGCCTCACAGCGACTCTGCTGATCCTTCCTTTGATACTTCCGCCACTACCTCCCCCGCCTTTGATGCTGCTGTTGCTTCCCATTGGCATTCTAGCCGTGCTTATGATCTTGGCTTTCATGCCGTCTAATGTGAGGGATTTGACTTATACATACGTCTAGCAAAGTAAAATGAATGAATGCTTGCGTTGCGTTGTCTATCATACAATTTTTGTACTACTAAAATGTTCAATACAAGAAACAACTCTTCTTCTGTTTTTATTTCTTTGTCCTCTTCTTTAACCAGACACTCAACGGAAGAGAAGAACAAAGACAACTCTAAGCGTCATGCATTACGTACGGAAGATTGTCTATGAATGTCGGTTATTAGGGGTGGGCATGGGTTGGTTTGGGTTGATTTTGGACTAAAAATGAAACCAAACAGACATACTCGGTTGGGCCAAAATTGTAAACCAAAACCAACCAAACCTGTGTCTAAAACTGATCAGGTCAATTAATCGACAGTGGATGGTTGGTTTAGATCGGTATTCGGTCTGTGTGCAAACCAAGTTTCTCTCCTAAAAGTTATATAAAGTAGCACTAATATGAGTGAATGCTCAAAGAAAAGCATAAATGAAGCAACTCAAGGAGAGCACCAAAGCCGAAACAGCTGTTGCCTTCTCCAAATGGTGCCCCTGCTCTTCTCCAATGGGACTCTTAAACTAATTATAAATAAAAAAATAATTAAATATATGCAAATCAGTTTGGTTAACTGCACCTTAAGAATTTTGAAACCGATTGTCAAACCAATTATGCCGGTCCGGTTCGGGTTAACAACAGAAAACTAAAAACAAAAAAAAGAGCCCAAACTAAACTAAGTCGCCGGTGCGGGTTCGGCGGTTCAATCGGTTTATTTTGTTTTATTAAATGCCCAGCCCTATCGGATACATTGCGCATTTCATTTCATGGAATCACATCTTACATCCAAACCCTAGGAGGCTAGGACTTGTCCGTCTAGTTGCTCTGAAAAATAACCATCCCGACCAAAAGTAATTATGATTTTGTATGCTGTATTATTCTTGTCAAAATCTTTCACGCCAGAGAACCGCGTTTCAAGTTCTCCAATTCCTTCCGTCTCGAAAATATGCCAATAAATCAAGTGTAGAATACAACAAAGGTCCTTATTTGTTTCAGGAATAATTCCACTGCCGACTCGCGGTCAAATAAAATACCCCATGTGGAATATCACATGGTTACTTTTCAGTTGGGTTGGAATTAATTTCATTAAATAATAAAGGCAAACGAAATATAAGACTCCCAATTCTATTCAATTCCATGTTTTGGTCGGTGGCCCGCTGGCTGGCTCCTACATGCACACGAAAGAAAGGTGGCAAAGAAAAAAAGGGGCTGCGGCTGCTGATGCCATAAGTACCACTTCATCCAGGCCGGTCGTCAAGGTGCAGCGGCATTCCATTCCATTTGAACTCGGAGCCGTCTTTGACAAATTACTTTTCTACATTCAAACACATTAAGGGCAGCATACAAAAAAAGAAACAAAAGTTAACCCCCACCCCCCATACGATACATGGCAAACGAATTAAAAATACAACTGGAATGGAAGTGTCTAGAACTCATATCAGATAGCCAAATCTATTATACGACAGGCGCATCAGATTTTGACAATAGTTTCTCTGTCTTAAATGATAGATCAACTCAACAACATGCACATTTAGAAACATATATGCGCCATGTACATGAACTAAATTACAAGGCAACAACATATGATGGATAGAAAATTGACAAACCTTGGCTTTGTCACCTGACCCCATCTCTAAACTGTTGTTATCATCCATTACAAATTTATCAGATAGCCGAGGACAAATGGAAGCTAAGTCCCAGAACATATACGAGCAACACCTTGCTGCACTGAGCTAGGCAGATCAAGTAAAAAATGGAGGGAGATGATGCTCCAGAAGAGCCAATAGCTCTTTGCACTGGCTCGCCCCTTCTAAGACTCCACCGCCAAGCCTTCTAACTGCTTCAACAAGCTGTCCTCTCAGCCTTTGTGACAACAAACAGCCACCCGCCCTCACACACTCCCTATACAGTGGCAGGTAACCGATTGCTATCCCTAGAGGGGTTGGAAGATCTCTTAAGCAGATAGGAGATTCACCCCATTTTAAAATCCTCACAATGTTCATGTAATGTTCTTGTCCTTGTTTAATTCCATCCAAGAAAGCTTCCTCTGACCAGTGCCCCCGAAGAAAAGCCCTTAACTCAGGAGCTATACCCTCATCATCAGACAGAGCAATACTGTTGGCAACAGCATAAGTAGCTGCAGGATCACCCATGAAGTTGGAATGAAGAAGAAATGCAACACCATCAAGAGAACCACCACTTCGTTCACCAGCAGCCTTCAGAATTTCAATGCTTAGTGCAGCAAGGACATGATGAGGAACATGAGGGAGGAGATAGGCAGCAATATCAACTTGGCTGCTGGAAGTTGCAGCTGTGAGAGCAAGGCAGAGCTCCATGTCTCGGCAACCCCTTTTCACAAACCACTCAACAACCTGCATACAGCCCCTCTCAGCAGCTCTCATCAGAGGGCCCAAAAAAGCTATCGCATTGCCTTCTTCCACAAGACATTCCATAGTACCAATCTTGCAGTAGTGAGAAGCAAAACCCAAAGCCAGGTCAACATCAACATCCAAACTGTTCCTTTGGGCAATCTACCAACACAAAACAAAACCCATATGCCAAAAGAAAATGAGAACAAAGATGCCACACAAACCATCTATCATGAAAGAAAATCTTGGATCTCACGATCATCTTCTCAAAATTGTCCTCGTTTACATACATAACCAAATCATATAACCAAGAATGCATACTAGAAGCATAAAACGAAAAATGTCAATGTCAACAAAAATATTGATATTCCAGATTTACATAAATATTAGTAAAAAATAAGAAACGACGTAAATTTACTTTAAACATAAAAAAAGGAAGGTATTCAAATTTTAGGAAATGTCAAACGGACAAAAATGCATTTATTAAGCATGTGAGTGGAAAACAACTTGCACTACTAACAAACATGTGCTTGAAACTTGAATATCAATATACAAAAAGATCTTTGCAATGACAATTCAAAAGAATGACAGGTTATAGTCATATAGCTAACAATAACTATTGTTCTTCCTAATTCTTATTTAGGGGTTTAGTAAAATAACTAAGTATTGAACATTGATCATAAACCAAATACAGAAAAATGATATCCAAAGGCTAGGAATGCAACTAAACATTAACATGACGTACAAACGTATTGAAGTCACCTGCAATAAGATGCGCACAAGCTCAGTACTCCCAAAACGAGAGGCTTCAAGGAAACACTGATTGACATTGTCTGCACCTCCCTCCACCAACATACCCAGCAAACCTTGAATTGCAGTTGCCGATATCCCAGATGCCCAGCCAGAATCGAATGAACTAGAGAAGAGAGTTAGGGGGAAGCAAGCAGCATCAAAGGCCTCAGTGAAGTCCTTCCCAGAAAGCTGGTTACCAGCAAGATCTATGAACGCCTTAAATGCTGATAACTGGAGTTGGATCTCAACCAATGAGCTGTTGTTAACTCTATCCTTATTACCTTGGGAACGAGAATGAAAGCCTATACATTTCAGAGCCCATTCAGTAAACTTTTGAACCTTAGCAGCAGCTTCTGCCTTCAAGACCTCATCTCCATTGCATTCGTGGAGGCGCTCATGCAACCTATAAAAAAAGAAGGGTAACCAATAAAGCAAATGGCACATCAATTCCAGGATTAAAAGAAAATAGATGGGCAAGGTGCTTAGAAGACACAGTAAACAATACCACGCTACACTCTCGTAGCTCAAATAAAATAAATAAAAAGAGGGGACATCCAAGGATTTCATGAAATTTGATGCATCTTAAGCTTTCTTGTAGCAAGTGGGGCACTTCCTAACCCACCAAGCTTTCTATTTTACCCAAGGTGTTGCCAAAGGACTAATTCTAATTCGTGTAACACCCAGGTTTTCTACATGTATGTTCATGAAAAGATTTCCTGGTAGCTTATGAGCTGACATGGAAAGACTACATAAAATCAAGCTGAGCTTGCTGACTTCATTAAGGAACTAGATTAATTTTATTCTATCTTACACATTCATTAAGGAACTAGTTTAATCTTATTCTACTTTGTAAGATGGATAATGCATCCTATTTTGCCTAGTCCGCCTCTTTAATTTAAAAGTCTTCATTTTCCATTCTGGAAAAGACTTCAGTAGTCTTTATGGACCCATTTACACACACCCAAACAATTTATCGCTATAAAATTGTTAAGTTATCAGGAAATACACAGCTTGACCATACCTTTGGGCCATTACTGTGACTGTATCAGCAAGACTCATTGTTCGGCTCTGACAAGCAGAAACACACGAAGCAAGAAATGAAGTGCGCAAGGCAGCTCTCGTGAAGTCATATGCACCATTGACAATGATCTTCTTAATTAATCCCGTTATCCCATAAAGCTCTTCGTGAGTGCTCAAGAACCATATTGAATCCAAAGTCATGCACAAAGCATCATTCAGGGTTTGTGGATCAGCCACCAGGATCAAACTCTCAGCAACTTCCCAATCATGGGAACTCACTGCACCCTGAAACATGCGGCCCAATTCAATCCTATCTTGTCTACTGAGCTTCTTCTCTTGCCCAACTTTATCCTTCCTCTCTGGGTTGGAGTCTGCCGCATCCACCTGAGATTTGAGTTTCTTGGCACTGCAACTACAACTAGTGGGCATTCTCGACTCCTTCCTGACAAGAGGTCCTTCTCTAGAGGATACCACATTACTTCCCTCTCCTTTGTCTGATGCAAAACCTTGAATGCCATTCTTCGGACTATCAATCACATACTCAGTTTCCATGTCGATATATATGGGGTCTTCGGAATTAGTCTCATTCACCACAATCCAACCATCATTACCCTCAAGAGGTGCCATCCCCTTTTCCATCCTCGCCTTTTATATAGACTATGCTATCCCCGCCTTCTCCCCTAATTTCCGTAATTCAAAAAATAAGATTAAAGGGGGGAAAAAATCTCCAACCAGATAAGATAATCACATATATCGCCCAAACAGCACCATCAAACAGCTTAAAGTAGTAACTACAAATCGCGGAAGAAACCGATTGCTCGCCAGTGGGATTCCTGTTCCAACAAAACCAAAGGATTAATGACGAACGGGTTACAAAATTGCCTTTATCTTTTTTTTGTTTCTCCTCCGCCTTGGATGACTGCTCCGCTCGGAGTTATGCAAACGAATCGAAAAGCAAAGTCCCCGTCTTCAACAGGCAACAGGCAGCGAAATTAGAAACAGCCCTCAATTCTCAAATTCCTACAGCATGTTGGTGGAAAAAGGCAATCCAAAACAAGCAAACCAGAGAGACAAGTTCAAATCTAGCAACCATACATACCAGTCAAATATCAAATGTCAGATAAGACCTCAGTCGCAAATACATAACACTGGAAAACCCTAGACTGGAATTATGGAACCCCCTCCTTCCTTCCTTTCAGCGTATATAAAAGGGATTCCAGCAATAGAATCAAGGATCGAGAAGAGAACCAACCCTACAGCACCACCCACAATCTTTTCATCAACAATTTAACAAATTTATAAAAACTGAAAAGAATTCGTTAGGGAAATGAGAAAATAAAGGAAATGGAGTAATAAAATGGAAAATGAGTGCATAAATAGTAACAACCAAAATAAAGAGTGGAGCAAAACTAGAAAAATACATGAAATATAGATATAGCAAACCTCTGATTAATTGTGGTGTGGGAGAGAAAGACTCATCACAGAGCAAACCCGTCATGTTTATTCATTTTCCTCTCTTTTCTTCCTTTTCTTTTTAATTTATTTGTCTACAAAATTATCACAAGGATTTTTTTTTTTTTTTTTTTTCAGTTTTCATGAGAAATGTTCCCCAAAGTTTCTTTAATTCATCGTTTTGATCTCTCACGTTTCAATTTAAAAAGTGTTAAATGGAAGTCCATTTAAGTGTAGATGTGTTAGTTGAGACGATGAGTGATGATGTTTGTAATTATAATGGTATTATAGGGTATCCATAAGTATCCGTTAACCATCTCTTCAAAGCGATTAAAATCATCTTTAGAATCACCGCATTCCCCTTTTCTAAACCCTATTCCTACAACTTCTAGAGGATAGATCGTAAATTCCTAATATTTTAATTTCATTCTCCTCAAATTAAGAACTATTCATGGTGGTTCACCAGTTTATAGATCTCTATTTAGAGCACAAATTTACAGATCACCAAGTTCGAGCATCAACCCACAAAAATAATGTAATTAAACTTATGTTTTGAGGGTATTTGAGACTATTCAAGTAACATTTTTGCTATATAAAAATTTTTTATAGAAAAAAGTCAAGTTTTGGGTATTAATGATAACTCATCCAACATATCGAGAATAAAAAAGTCTTTAAGCTTTTACTACACAAGCATCCATCTTGTACGTTGTAGAGTATATCAATCAGACAAAAAAGAAAAATAAATAAAATAAATAAAGAAAAGAAAAGTAGCAGGGGTAATAATTATGTTCTAAAAGACACTAGGTGGTAGTCAGACGACGGGTTAGGGCCTAGCGTCTAGGCGGTTAGACGGGATCTAGGCTAGTACCTAGGCGGACTAGACAGATTTAAGTAAATCTATTATATTTTGTGTAAATAAGTGTGCTTATACTTAAAATATACATAATTTCATCATAAATTACAAAATAGAATGACATACATATTATTTCATATTGGAACATAATGAAAACATGGAGAACAATGATAGAAGTATGTTCATCTAAGTGAGGAACAAGTCTTTTACAATATATTAGAAAAATAAAAATGCAAAAAGAAAAATTATATATTTTCTGTCTAAGTGAGTCGCGACTTAAGTAGGTCTGGACGGGCTAGGCAAGTGCCTAGGCGGTCTAGGCGGATGCCTCAGCAAGTCCAGTCGCCTTTTCTTATTTTTCAAACGTTTAGGTATTAATCGAGACGGTGATCAGACGTCTAGCACCTAGGCCCAGCTGGAATTTTTAGAACAGTGGGTAATATATTAGTTGGGTAAATTACATATTCATACCTCAAGTTTGGGGTCTATTTCAATTTCTTAGAACATCTTCAAAACATTTCACTTTCATACCTTAAGTACTATTTTATTTCAAAATAATACATCCGTTACATTTTCTATCCATTGATCCGTTAAATGCTGACGTGGCTGCCAAATGTTTTCCACGTGACAAAACAAATAGTTTTTTAATTTTAATTTTTAAAAAAACATGAATTAAAAAAAAAAAAAAAAAAAAAACTTGAAAAGGCAGAAACCGACCCCACCCCCGCAACCCCTCTTCTCCCTCCCAAACATCCCAGCCACCTCCCTCTCCTCCACTCTTTTCACCTCCCCTCCCATCCAAAAACCCATCCCATCCCACCCAAAACTTGAATTTTCTCACCTAAAAAAAAAAAAAAAATTGAAATACACAGCGACCCACGGTCTGCAAGAAGAAGAAGAAGAAGAAAAAGAAGAGGGAGGAAGGAAGAAAAAAAAAAATTAATTGAAACTATCCCTCCCCCCTCCCAACTGACCCACAACTGACCCACATCCGTTGCGTTGAGATCATAGGATAGGATAGGAGGAGCGACTGAGCGAGGAGGAAATGGACGAAGAGTATGACGTCATAGTGTTGGGAACAGGTCTGAAAGAATGCATCCTCAGCGGTCTTCTCTCCGTTGACGGCCTCAAGGTCTCTTATTCCACCACTCTCCACTCCCCCCTACTCTTTCTACTATTTCTTTTCTTTCTTCTCTCCTGACCTTTTCAATTTCAACATCAAATCTCATCACCAATGGACTCTTTTTTCTGTACGTTTCCTCTGTGATTTCATTTCGTTTGATTTGTATGGGTGATTGATTTGCCAATTGGGCCGACGGGATCTATTTGCAGTTGGAACCGGAGGGATGTAGCTTTAATGTTTCAAACCACCTTCGCCTTCTTTTCTATTTTCATTGGATGTTTATTTGATATTATGTCATCTAAATGCATCAACTGATTTTCATCTCAACACATGAATCCAACGCTCACGCTCTTTAACCTTCAACCTACTATCAATCTTATTAGACCATAACAAAAAGGAAAGTTAAAAAAAAAAAAAAATAAAAAAAAAAATCTTACTTGGAATGATGAATATTCATTTGATTAGTAATAGGTTTAGCGGCTGCGTTTGAAACTTGGAATTTGGAATTTCATCTGATTCCTCAGCGACTACATTATTATCAAGTGTATGACATGATTGTTATCATTTAAAACCAATGCTTTGTACATTTATCATTTCTTTATTTTCCGTTGAATATGACAGAATGTTGATCAAAACACTTGGTACTTTTATTGTTGATACTTGTATTCTGTGAACCAGGTTCTGCACATAGATCGGAACGATTATTATGGTGGAGAGTGTGCATCACTTAATCTTGTCCAGGTCCCCTTCTGCCATCTACTTGAAAGCGTCTGATGAAGTATCACATCTGTACTTATGTTGCACTGTCTCTCTCTCTCTCTCTCCTCCCCCCCTTCTCGTGCCCACTCGCTCGGTCACTCAAACTTTATACTCTATTATTAATTTTGATCTTTAAATTATCATTAACTTGCAGCTATGGAAGAGGTTCAGGGGAGATGACAAGCCCCCAGCACACTTGGGATCTAGTAGGGATTATAACGTGGACATGGTCCCTAAGGTATGTTTGTGTGTTTCATTGATTTTTGCATTGTTTTTGGCTCATTATTATTTTGTTTGTTTTTCTTTTATATATTTGTTTTCATGTTTTCCTAATTTGTTGTATTTTTCTTTGTCTAGTTTATGATGGCCAATGGCACTCTAGTGCGTGTCCTCATTCACACAGATGTCACCAAGTATTTGTACTTCAAAGCTGTGGATGGTAGTTTTGTCTATAATAAAGGAAAGGTAGTTCCGCTAACTCTTTGGAAAACTGCATTTAGTAACTACACTCACAAAGACCCTCACATATTGTTCTGTATAAATTTCATCTTAAAACTTATGGGTGGGATCTCAATTGTTGCAACAGGTTCACAAGGTTCCAGCAACTGACATGGAGGCCCTTAAATCTCCACTCATGGGTCTGTTTGAAAAGCGCCGTGCACGCAAGTTCATCTTGTATGTTCAAGATTATAGTGAAACTGATCCTAAAACATATGAGGGAATGGACTTAACAAGAGTGACAACTAGAGATTTGATCGCGTAAGTGCTAGGGCAATATCCTTTTTGTAAATGAACTCTATAATCATTCTAAGAATCATAACTTGCGGTCTTTACAGTCTCATTGGTACCAATGCTTTGTCTCTGTTTTCTATTTATAGGGTTCCTTGTAGAAAAGAAAGATGGTCTTGTTTTGATAAAGTAACAATCCAAGAACATTTGTTTATATTTTTGTGTGGTTAATGTTTTGACAGAAAATATGGTCTCGATGACAACACTGTTGACTTCATTGGGCATGCTTTGGCACTTCATAGGGATGATCGCTACCTGAATGAGCCTGCTCTAGATACCGTGAAGAGAATGAAGGTAAATACTGGTCGGGGTTCATGGATGATTATTTTTATGTCTTGTTTTTAAATTCTCATTGTATTAATGTTCATTTTTGTAATTGAGTTTAACACGTGGTTGTGTCATAGCTTTATGCGGAGTCATTTGCACGTTTTCAAGGAGGATCACCATACATATATCCTCTGTATGGATTAGGAGAGCTTCCCCAGGTATCTTTCTCTCTATTTAATTACAGTATTGTATTTCATCTCAAAGTTGGTAAAGATATTCAATTTTGTTTGGGGTGCTTCATTTAGGCATTTGCCCGACTTAGTGCAGTTTATGGTGGGACTTATATGTTGAATAAGCCTGAGTGCAAGGTAATCTTTACACATTTTTCTTGGTTTTAACACTCTTTCATTTTGCATTAGTTTGTGTTTAATTCCTGTCTAGACACTGAGTTTGATGCATGATGCCAGGTAGAGTTCAATGAGGAAGGGAAAATTATCGGTGTCACATCTGAAGGGGAAACTGCTAAGTGCAAAAAAGTTGTCTGTGATCCTTCTTACTTGCCTAACAAGGTAAACCTTTCTGAGTAAAGTATTTAAAGGTGGTGGGATGTTAATATTAGTTTTCTGTTCATCTTGTGCCTTACAAGTATGCATGTGGTTGTTTTTATTTATAGGTCTGCAAGGGACACAATATCTTCTCTGTTCTTCTGTATCTTGCTTGAAGGGTGAAGAAAAATGTTTTTTCCCAAACACTTACTGAAAATTTATTGCATTTTGACAGGTTAGGAAGGTTGGTAAGGTTGCAAGAGCTATTGCCATCATGAGCCACCCAATTCCAAACACCAATGAATCTCACTCAGTGCAGGTTATCCTGCCACAGAAGCAGTTGGGTCGCAGATCAGATATGTGAGTTCTCTTATCTTTTGTTTGGGACCAATATTTATTTTGCAATGAATGTCGTGTGCATATTTGAGAAGGTCCTTTGTAACTGTTGCTTTAGAAAAAACAATCTCATGACTAGGTTGTTTTATGCTATGGCAAGGAAATGGGTTTTCTTTAATAGGAAGAAATGAATGGTATAGTTTATATGCATACAATGTCTAAACCACAATTTTTACCTTTCTGTTGTGTAATTGGATATGCAATTGCAATGTTATATTGGGTGGAGGGTATAGTCAGTTATATTATTCTATAACTGTTGGAAGGGTTTCGTGGTAACACTTGCTTGATGCATATTAATATTATCCTACTATCATTTCGATCCCAAACTACTACCAAAAGGAGAAAACAGTGGTATTTAGAGCAGGCCTCTGGGGAACTCGTGTATACTTTGAACCGATAGCTTGTTGGTG